GGAACGAGCGCATCAAGTGACATAGACGTGACCTGGCGATTAAGTCGGTTCATGCTGTCAGCGGCATTCAGCGGGACAAACAAAATTGTATAAACCGGTGGCTCTTGAATATTCAGTGGTGGCCTTACTTCGGAAAGGAGATGTCGTAAGCAGCCTTCCTCTTCGCCTTGTGTCTTGCCACGGGCACAAAGTCACTTTCATCGGAGCTCTCATCACTGGCCGTTGAGTACATCAGCGTGTCCTCACTGTCTACGTCACTTGGGTGGCCGGCGCGCTTTCTTAGAGTGGCCACAGACGACGCGGAACGTATTGGTGGAGGCCCTGGTGATTCTACGTCCATTTCCGCAGACAGAAGAGCAGCAGTCTTCCACAAGCACCAAAGAAAACGAGAAAAATATCAGAGACTGAAACCAGCGTTCCCCTCAGGAAAAGCTTCGTCTTCTTCCCAACGTCCTCAAGAACGTAATCAACAACACAGACAGGCGGCTATAGTTCATGATATAGACAGCTGTGACGTCTTTTATCTTCAGAGCACTTTTCGTTTTTACATGTACCTCTAAGCACATTTAGGTCGGCGTTTATACCATACTATGAAAATTCTGGAAACATAGACAGTCGAAGCGGATGTTCTTAGGCTATACGCTGTGAGTCATTTGTTACACCTATAGGGACCAATTTATGCACTCAAATAGAATCACGGGACCAGTCCTTGTTTAACTGGCCCACAGAGCAGCGAGAAGATGAAAATGCTAGATGTAATATGCACCTTATTTTCTCCCACTTGTTGTACACTTCTTCTGTCCTTGTCCTAGGCACTATTATGTGCGTCCATCTATAAACTAGACATATAGCCTTTGCATAAGACGTTAGAAAAAAACACGATAGATTTGCTAGTTCCTTTACTGTAGTGCTTCATATCATTCATGTGCAGTGCAATAGGTAGCACTCATAATAATTTTTCACCTCATGATCATTGAGCATACCAATAGTGCAGTGTCAAGATGAGTTCACGTGACAGGCAAAAAAAAACATGCCAGTCCTGCCCGCAACACGCAGCAACAGTAACAGCGAAAGCTGGGAAAGCGGCCTTTACAGAGCCTTTTTACAGCGAAAGCTCTCATGAGATCAAAACACGACTAACGTGTGGCACCGTGGTTGTCCGCCACCGGTGTCCGTAAAAAACATCACAGGCAATAAGAAAAAAAACTCATTTAATAACACCAGGAATACAATGAGATTTTTACTCGGGTCCGCTGCGTGCCCGCCCTGTATTCTATAACTGAGACACGGCGGTTCTTGGAACTCGTTTCTAAACTGGCCTTAGGCAGTCTTGAAATAATGGACTGAATTGTGTTAGAGAGAGACAGAGAGAATAAAATGAGAGAAAAGAAGGGAGGTTAACCAGAAATTGGAGCATCCGGTTTGCTACCCTGTACTAAGGGAAGGGAGAATAGGGACTAAAGATGTAAAAGAAAGTGAAGAGCGAAATAGATGCGCGAAAGAGAAAAGACAAAAAAGAGCTAGAGTGCTATAGCCTATTCACTAGGCCACTACCACGCAGAAAGTTCAATAAGGCTTTCATTGATTTTCTGTGCGAAGACAGTTTATGTCGCCTTTCAAGCACTGACTGTTCTGACAAGGGTCTCTCGTCAAGACGAGCTAACGCAGCATCTAGCTGCCGTCTTTGCACGCTGTAACGAGGGCAGTCACAGAGAACTTGCTCTATAGTTTCATCGCTGCCGCAATGGTCGCAAGCAAAGCCCATGGCTAGCAAAGCGTTTGAAAACATCAAAGGAACAACCAGGTGTCGCACAATGCGAATTGCGTTACGAGCGGGTCATCCAATGCTCAAGACGTGTTCTTGACCGCCTTTTAATTGTGGCACATAGCAACATCTGGCATAATTATTCATTGTCGTGAGTCACTGTATAATAAATTGCACGAAATTCTTAGGAAGCGTGTAGCGGATATCACGCTTCTCCGAAGAATAACGATGGACAGCATAGTGAATGCTAGGCCTACTACACAATAATTGTGAGTGCTTATAACATAGTGGGTACCAAGCAAGTAAGAGCAGTTACCCAAAGAGCGTTTTCAAAAGCTCTCTAAGGCTGCTATGCCAGCTTTCGTTGTAACTGTGCTGCACGTTCCGTACAACCTGGCGTTATTTTTAAACATTATTTTATATAACTGCAACTAGAGCACCTGCAGGGTATTTGCTACGCCACAAATCCTCATAATCTTTGTGCGGTAGAGTAGCAATAACCATACCAATCTTCGTCATTCTTTGGGGAAGCGTGGTACCGGCTACACAAGTGCGACAAACTTTGTGCGAGTTATTTTGATGTTTTCGCTGAAGACATTGGAAGGATTATGGTTTGCTTTTGTAATGGGTTGAGGCGTTTGACGACCCACTCAATACCCAGTTTGCAATGTATGACACCTCGTTGATTGTTTGCTCTCCTAAAGCGGTTTAAAAGCCATATCAATGTGATTTCTGACAAGAAGCCAGCCTAGGGTCAGTTTGCAACAGTTTCAAGCACTGATGTGACTCAGTGGTAGAATAATGGGTTGGCACGCATGTGACTCGGGTTTGAGTTCCACTTCTGTAATTGCTGTTTTTATTTATATTGGGGTTCTTTAACGTGCATCCAACTCTGAGAGCACGGCCCTTCGACATTTTCTCCTGGACTAGAAATGCAGCTGCCACAGCCGGGATTTGATCTCGCGACCTGCGGCTCAACAGCCGAATGCCTTAGCCTCTAAACCTCCATGGCGGGGCTTCATTACTGCCTGTGATATCTGTTACGGACATCGGTGGCCGCCGCGGACAACTATGGCGCACGCCACCCTTGTAGTGACCTCATAACAGTTTTCCCTGTAAAATTGAAGCGCACCACACTCACTCAAGAAAACATTTTGCTCTCACTCGGGCTCAGACTCGCTAAACAGTTCTCGTCCTAACACATTGGCACTACAACTCACTGACATGTTACTCAGTCAGACTCGTGGTTTGACCGAACCTCAGTGAGCCTGTGTGAGTCTACTAATGAGATCTGTTAGCGTAAATTTTTCTACTATGGCGTCCATTCTCTCTTTCGCGAATATCTGACATAATAGAGAGTTTTAGTACTGCGTACGCTGCGTACGTGGCGGCGTTGCGTACGTAAGGACGCCACTTTCTGCGTAGTGCGCATGCGCAGATCGCAACGGGCACGTATCGCGTTACGCACGCACGCATGAGATGCGTGCGTGCGTACGTATGCGGTGATCGCACCGCTCTCGAACAAGTTCGTGACAGCGCGAGACTTCGTTTTGCAAAATGGCGGCATCCAAGGCAACATGGAGGAAGGAAAGGAAGACAAGCACCGACCGGCTCTGTGGCTTAAAATATGGCCATAATCTGGCTATTACACTTGGATTGGCTCACATTGGCTGTTGACGACACATGCTTCTATTTTGATCTACCAGATGGCGCAACACGCTTCACGTTCGTTACGTACGCGGGTACTACGGCGTACTAAAAGCTGATTAGTGGCAAACGACACCACGTAACGCAAGGCGCTTGCGTGATGCGTACGTAGCACCATTCCATAGTACTAAAGCTCTCTAATATCTGTTCTAAAGCGCGCTATGATTTTCGGCCGTCATATACGAATTGTCAGTGGTTTCAAGCCAGAAAGGACCTTCTTATATAACACAGTACACGCACAAAATATTTCAATCTAGAAATTCTTGTGAAAGAGTTTGCAGGGAGAAGTCAGAGTATTTTTCTGCCCCACCCCCCAGTTGACCTGCGATCAATAAATGCCGAGATGGAAGGTGAACGCAATGCCATTTAGATATGTATGAATAGAATTCAGTGCAAAACGTTAGCCGATAAAATGCTGGTGGTAATACTGAAGATAGATAGATTGTACCGCAGGTTGGCAATGAAAGATAGAGATGACTTCAGACTCACTCAAGAAATGTGTTTTGTGTTTACAGCACACTTAGAAAGAAACTCAAAAATATTTTCCTCAACTGGACTCACTAGGAATCAAATTCATCACATCGTTACTCACCTCGACTCAGTCAAACTTAACCCCGTATTCAGAAACACTCCTCAACTCGAATTCCACCCTTCACTTCACTGAGCAAAGTACTGCACCGCTGCTCGACTGAAATTGACGCTGCGCTTCTCAAGAATCGCTGCAAATTATTGCCGATATGCAGTGACTTGGTCTGCAAAGAGCGCTCCCATCGGCTTTTTTCAAGTCGAGGGGAGCTTTTGAGTGAAGGAGCGTTTGTGAATACGGGGGTAAGGCTCAGGACCCCCTTGAGTCTGAATGAGTTGACTCACAAGTGGGTTTGCCGAGCCATGTTTCGCATAACGAGCAGTCTCAACGTGCTTCGCTAGCTATAACCGATGTGCGAGCGCATTTAAAAAGATGCTCATAAGTCGTCAATTCTCGTTTTTCGTATCTACTGCTGTTCCTTTTCAACGTTTCTTTTTTTCGTTGTGAGCACAGTGTGAATCAGCCGAAGGCTTGTACAGCGCAATATCTTCGCGCGTATCACAAAACAACTGAATTTTTGCCTTTGGCCATTTCATAGAACACTTTCTCTCGCTATTTACGTCCCCTTGGTTTACCTCGACGGAACCATGGCTATATCGCTCCGCAGCTGACGCAAAGGCCGTGAATTCAATCTCAGCCATGGCGGTCGCATTTGGATGTAGGCGAAATCATCGAGGCCAGTGTGCTGTGCGAAGTCTATGCACCTTGAGGAACACCAGATTACGTCAATATTTGGTGCCTACCACTGAGGTGTCTCTCATATTCATATCTTGGTTTGGGACGTAAAACCATACTTATTATTATTTTTATTATTTATGTCCTCTTTCTTTCATCTTTTACAGACAATCTTAACATCAATCATGTGAACCTCTCCAAGTTCACATGAACATCTCCTAGTTTACTTGCAGAGTGAATTCACATGAAGAGCACAATAATACGTACAATCGACCTCGTTTACACCCAGCAAGAAAACACCGCAGCTGTTGTCACGCGTCTGGAACAAAAGTTTTTCGTATCCATAAGGCCGGCGACCTGCAAAGAGAACACATCGCTTTTAGTTAAATCAGGGTGTTAAGAGGTGCCTTGCTCTCAAGAGAGGTTCATCGTTTGTAATACATATTGCTACAAAAGCCAAGCTTTCCCAATTAGATGGAGTCAATCTCCTTTTTTAAGGAGTTTCGTGTGCTGGTAGAACATCAATTTCAGACCATAGACGTTTCTTGCATACTTTTCAATTTAAGTTCAATTACAATTCGCAATGCTCAACGTGAAACAAAACTTCATCAACTTGTGATTTTCGCGCATTCTCTGTGATTGACTGGTGCCCTTATTTATTGATTCCTTGCTGGCATAACAAGTAGCAGCACTAGATCAGAAAACCTTTAGGCGTCATAGATGTTAAGTATACAGAGTTTTCTTGCATAAATTTTGCTGGGACATATTGTGGCGTTCTAGGCCCCTTTTTAGTTCACCACTGATAAAATTTCTTCCTTCTTTCTAAAGGAGAACCTCCGTATACATTCCTGATCCACTGGTTTTCCCACTTGTTCGCAATTTAAATATGTTCCTTGCTTAAATATAAATATCGTGCGTATATATATCAGCCCAGTATCGTGCAATACTGGGCTGATTCTAGAACAGATGTATTTACACGGCTTTGGCGAACTGCCAACTTTGGTTGACTGAAATTGCAGCTGCGAGTAAGACGAAATGTGCATATTGTTCCCGCGCCTCGATGCCTCTAAGAAGAGCACAGCTATTGCTCAACCAAGTTTTTCTCTCTCATTTTTGCCCTATTGTTTGCCCGCCCCAATTACATCTTGATATTGGGTTTCAAAGGCAGAGTTCAAGTTTCAGATGAAGTTGTGTTTTCGTGCCTCCCCATAATTATGTTCTTTGCTTTCATTACAAAATTAGTCACCAGTGTACTCAAGTAGCTGGGCTTCACCTTTAATACCGGGTCATGAAAGGAAAATTACTTTTGCAGACATATTGCCAGGGCGAGACAAGCATCATTAGGTTCATTATTAAAAGCAAGAAACGTCAGAAGCATACAAAGTGCACGACACCCTTCGTTATGAAGTAAAACACGACCTTTCGAGGAAACTATTCAGAGCAGTAGACAAGCCAGAATTTTTTTTTGTGTGTCTGGAGTGCGGAGCGTGGAGTTTTACCATATCTAGTATGTGTTCGTGCACAAGTTCTTATGTGTACGTGTATGTACCAGCAAACAAAATTAAAAACCTTCAGTTTTTTTCAATACCCATACGCACATCACTTGTCTATGCCAATAATGTTGGTCTTTTGCATGAACCAAGTGACGATTGACCAAAGCCTTAAGAATCCGGAACACGTCATAGCTGCCCAGCTTTGCTGCTCCCTTTTATTCTGCAAGCTGTAACTACGCAAACCAAGTCCGAATACAATAATGGAGTGGATTAAGTCATCCATTATCATTCTGTTTTAAATAGTGTGCTCTGGCTTGAACTCTCGTGTACAAAACTCTATTTTTGGCCGGAAGCAGGGCTTTAATGATGAAAAGCTGAACTCTTATGCAGAAGACTGTTTTCTCAAAGGAAACAAAAAAATTTCCCTTTAGGTTAAATTATATGAGGTGGTCACCTAAGGGGACCAACGTGCAGTAAGGGTCTACTGGTCAGTTTCGGTGAAGCGTCGCAAAGCAGTCTTCCTTTCCCCGCAGGAGCAAAGAACATTTTGTGTAGGACACATCCAGCTCATACTTGAGGGCGCTTGTATATATTTTGCAAAATAGCTCCACTAGAACGATAGAAATCAATATATGTCTACCCTTCTAAACACCTTCATTCATGGTGGTCACCCCCGGTGAACAACTTCAGCGTCACGGTGCTACGTATACTGAACGAGTACAGCTTTTCCTTTCTAGATTCCTTCGTACAAGCAACTCGAATGACATGATGACCAACTCTATCAAGATGATAAGGGAAAAGATTAAGTAGTACAACTGCTACGGGCACTTCGTTCGTGTCAGCGGACTAAAGGCTATCTGCTGGACAACGGAGAAATGCGATATCTGATATCGCCCAATTCAGGAACGTTCCAACTTCGAGAATATATGTTGCGAGGTTCTGCGCAGTAGCTGGTCAGGAACCCCTTGAAGACAATACTACCGAGGTTTACTCGTCCAAGCCTCAGCCGTGATGATGATGATGCTGATGATGATGATGATGATGATGATGATGAATGATGATGATATCATCTTGCTGACGGTGCTCGATGATGTGTCAGCGGAGGCTGAGCGCGAGCTGCGAACATTCCATCATTTATCTTCTCTTATTTTATGGTCGGCGTGACTGCAGCCGCCGCCCTCATATACGTATCGCCAGCCTACTAAGGTTCATTATACACCACCTACTTCAGTGACATGGCACGCTATACAGCCCGAGTAGAGCTTTTCATTTCTGAATTTCTTAGCGTTACGTACTCACACAATATGCTCTCCTGCACAATTAATATAATAGGGAGAGCGCATACTTTCATATTAAGAAAATATATCGGGTCCACCATCTAGCGCGTTTTGAGGATAATGACAGCCGGAAGAAAGCAATCGTAGCATGCTACATTGAAGGCGAAACGAAGTTGCATCATTTCTGTCAGATTGTCGAAAGCTTTAAAATTTGCCCAGTGAAAGTTTGACACGCGGGGTTCACGTGTTCAAAGAAGAAAAAAAAGAAAAAAGGTGGTTACCTGAGGTGACCACCATGCTGGAAAAAGTTAACATCTGAAAGTCATGACGCGATTATGAAACATTCTTTTCATAGGATGTGCTAGACATGTGTTCACCGCATTTATGCCAAGCTCAGCAGCCCTAATTATCTCGCTCACCTGCAAGGCGCATTGCGGTGTTGCTTACCTGGGTTTGAAAGTATCAGAGCATTAAAACAGCCCCTGTTGAATTCTTTCTCGGCCTTCCACTTCTCGAGCTTCCCAAGATTTGTCACATTTAACCTGCGAAGCAAATGTCAGTCACTAACCTTGTGCGTGACGGTAAACAGTGACCATTGTGTTTACCTCACACTTCCTCTTGCGGAAAAAGCAGCTTCAAACTTGACATAAGTTGCGTTCATCTCAATCAAAGTGTCCACCTTGCACTCGAGTTTCGAATGCTCTGTTGAGTAATAGGTCCAAATAGGTTCGCTCGTGTTGTAAAACTGCAATGAAAAAGGAGAGGACATCAGCTCCGTCATGAAAAGCTGTGTTTTAACGGGGAAGATTTTTAAATGACTCTCATCACATCACCTATATTCGAGAAAGATCACCGTTATGGCAAAAGAGGGCCATTCAGTCCATATTTGAAGAAACCATTGAATGACCTCCCTACGAAATACTCATTTTCAAGAAGTTTCATCTCACAACAAATATTTTTTATTTCGTCCTGTATACCTGCCTGGTATGGTATGAAACAACTTTAATCAGGTCCGTAGTGGCATGAACTAGCACGTAGTGGGCCGCTCTAACGTCAGAACAGATGAATCGAACCTCTCCGCCACGTCGTAGGCCCGTTGGACTGCCCATAGCTGCGTCTTTGAATCCGTACTGCGCAGCGCAGCATCCCACTTAGACGATGTAATGTGTTCCGCCCATAACGTAGGGAATCGCCAGCGCATGTGATCTAAGCTGGCAAAGTCTCTGCCTGGTAGCCCAAAAAATTGAGGCTCATCAGTGATTTGTCTGTCGCCATCACCATTCCTTTGACCATGTGTTTTTCTTCGTTCTGTAAGTTTTTGCAATGAGTCATCAGCTGTCCCCATAACGAGAAAACTATACACTAGCCATACAAATCATCCGAAACATTGATGTTGTTTCGTCTTATAGGAGCTTCACGTGGTCTTCTAGGCTAATGCTATGCTAAGCCTTTCCTTGACGTATACAAGGTAGAGTGGGGCCATAGCCTGTCACAGATCATTGAAGAACGTCCATACTCCAATGCCTGAACTAAAGTGCAGCGGTCGTAACCTGGTGGAAGTGGGGGCCTTTCGTTACTCGATCTCGGCTCGGGCGGTGGGTAAATTTGGTGTGGTGGCAGCGTGGGCTGCCTCATTTGTGGGGCGCGGTTGATGAACAACATGTGGACGTAGTTTTGTGGTCACTCGACGTTTTACATTCACCTTCAAGAGTGGTGCTCCTAAAGTTACTGTCAGAGATATATGTAGTTTACTGCAAACCCGGCGCTTTGAGACGTATTGCGTATCAATGAGCAGGCTGCAAGAAGGAAACAGATAGGCAAAGGAAAGATAATTGGACAGCCAGCCTGTACTATACTTGCCGATCTGCTTTGGGCATGAGTATGAAGCAGGGAAAAAAATATAAAATAAGCAAGAAGGAAAGGGAGGAAAGGAAACAAGCTCGAACAGAGCAGGGCCTGTGTCGCGTACCGAGACCATCGATTGTAGAGAGAGAGAGACTATAACCTGCTCGATTGTTTTAAGCTGAACAGGAATGCACCGTACTATAATGACCTTTTGCAACAGTTCGCTTCACGGAATCCAGAACAAGCAGTGGATGGCGAATTGATGGAGTTTTTAATGATGTTGACGATAGTGCGTACTAGGCTTATCAGAAGTGCATACACTGCCAGGGCTTGTAGGTCTTCATGTAAATCCCCTCTGGAAGCTGCCGTATATCGCTGAATAGTCTGGACCGACTGTCGACGGGTGCACCAGTGACAGGAACGTAGCCAGAAGGTGGAACACCGGACCCATGCCCCCTCTCTTCCTTGCAGACGTTTTTTTTTTTCGCCATGGCATACAATGCACAAAATGAGACTTGACCACATCTTCCCACACGGTCCCCAGTTCACTTGAAAGTGGTGCCACCCCACAAAAAAACTTGTGGTGAAGGGGCATGTACGGAATGGTGTTTAAGCTCTACCAGCATGAAATCTCCGAAGGGCCAAGCATGCAGCGTCCACAAGTCTCATCGTCGGCCACAGTTTTAGGGATTCGGACTTATAAACTAGTGGTTTCTGACCGTTTTTAGTTACTGCGCATGATTCAAATATTTATATTTAAACCATGCACATGAGGAATCTCCACAACCACTATATGGCATGTCAAGACCCAGTGCCTACATATAAAGGGTAGCTAGCAAATGGTTGTGCACTGCGAATAGCACCAGACGCTGCTGGCATCGGCGTTTTCTCTCACGGACGGGGGCATGTTCTTGTTCCTTGTGAGTTGTTATTTCAGCGTTCATCTCAGAAAGAGCATTTTCATAGCCGACGCACCCCGTTTGTTCCATCTCACCACGCGGCACGCGCTGAGGTGGTGGCGTCCTTTCTTGCACCCAAGTATATCGAGCATCACAACAGCAGCAGTAGACGACGATGCACCCCGGAACGCCGAGACCATGGCACTTCACGCCAAAAAAAAAATGGCAGCATATCCACGGAGTCAATGATGGAGAGTGGGGTGAAGCATTCGTCCGTCCATTCGTTCTTGCTTCCGTCCATCCATCCGTCCATCTGTGTGACCGTCCATGCGTATATTCGCCCTTCCCTGCGTGCGTTTGTTCGTGCGTCCGCCCCTGCGTTCGTCCATGCATTCGCCCCTGCGTCCGTTCATGCGTCCATCCATGCATCTGCCTGTGTGTCCGTTCGTCCATCTATTCAACACTCCAAGTACCACCATCTCGCATGTTTTCATCATATATTGCCCATATAGCAGCACCGCCATTCAGCGGACATTCCAAGGACCAAACGAGAGGTGGCACACGCACGCTTCCTTACGGCTTGCGCTTTGGGTCTACTTACCACCTTTAACCACCTCGAGTTCATGGTATATACTAGTTCACTGCATTCATGACACTGCGGCCCAACGCTCGCTAAGCCTTTCTAAAACCAAGAAAGTTACGCCCAGCGAGTATAACGTAGCAACCTTTTCCTGTCAGATACTGCTCAATGTACATGCCAATGGCTAATAATGGGAAATGCGAGACAGGAGAATTCGGCTTTTACTTTCTTAAGGCTTGCGCTTCGTATCGACTTCCCACTTTTAACCAGCTCAAGTTCATTGTATATACTAGTTCATTGTATTCATGGCACTGCGGCTCAACGCTCGCTAAAGCCTTTCTAAAACTAGAGAGGTTACACCCAGCGAGTATAACGTAGCAACCCTTTCTTGTCAAATAACGCTCAATGTACATGCCAATGGCTGCTAATGGGGATCGCAGCGTGCGTGTTGAATAAAAGCTGAACGCTCCTGTCTCTCATTCTCCATTAGCAGCCAGTGGCATGTACATTGAGCACTATTTTTTATTCTTCAACAATGCACAGAAGAAACCTCTCCCTGGCACCACGTTGGAGGTCAAAATGTTATACTTGTTACACACTACAGCGGCTACGAGGGATGAACGGATGCCGCTATAAAGAGCTTAGCCCTTAAAATGTCTTCCTACACCACTGCCGCACACAGTCATCACAGCTGGGGAAAGCTGATCAGAATCTACTTCTGCAGCGTAAATATTTAGGTAACTTTTCCTTGACCGTCAGCCATTAATAACCTCTTCACGTGCACTAAATATGAGCTCCGATTGATGGTCTTTCATAATCTATGGAAAATCAGGGAATAGGAAACACGTCGCCTGAAGCACGCAAGTCGAGGGGATTGCCCTGAGTTCAACCGAATCTGTGGAAACATATTCAATAACGGGAGCCTCGGTTTTGTTGAATTTTGCTCAATGTGATTCCTATCAGTCTGTATTTTTATAAGGCGAACCTATTGAAATTTTTTAGGTCTAAGTTATTCCTTGGCTGAGCAGAGTGCTGTTGAAACACAGAACTCAGCCAACCTGAAGCCAGCAGTCGGTCAACCTCAGTCAGCCTGAAGCAAAAGCTGATCTGTTATTTTTTAAACATTTTGTTTACTGTGCGGCGCGTTAGCGAGCCTATTGTGTGCGGCACACGTGCACTAGTGGACGTTTGCCCTTTCAAGACCGGCCATGCTTCCTCGTTGGGGAAGCTGCAATCGTTCACTATAGACCCGGCGCAGCTATATACAGCCGCTACCGAAAGAAGAGAGACAATGCGTTGCCCTTGCGTGCAAACACAACTGGACGTGATTTCTAGGTAATTCGATCGACCGTTTTGCTGAATACAAAGCGTACCTTGATTCGCACAATGGAAGAATGTTTTGCGTTTTCCCACTGTTCTGTCACTTTCCTGCGTTTTAGTTATAGACGACGTGAGATGAACCGTAAATATTTGTGAGTCGGGACCCGCAAACGGACTGTGCATTCGGCTGTGTCACAGGTGAATCCCTGTGTTACCACGCCAATTCATTTCGTTAGAATACGCAGTGTCGTACCACTGTAATACTGTTCTTGCAATCGTAAGATATAGAGATGAAAAGTTACAAATATACTGAACATATTCATTAAATTTACTGCCACTGTTTCAGTGCTATGTGTTGCGTAGCCACCACATTCGACGCATTGGCGTTTACTCGCTGGACCCCGGCTCCATCTCGGAAAAAGGCAGAGTTCCCCAAACACCTTCCGTGGCAGTTGGTGATTACCGCTTTGTAGTACGATTTGGTCTCCGTGGAGAGGGATGCGCTTAACTTGAGAAGCGGTGTTAGTCTTCCACCTGAATTTTCTCAGTCAACCTAATTGACTCCGGTGACACAACGGTAGGACTCGGCTGAGATGCACTAGTCCGCTACTGTAAAACGCTCTTCGATTGAAAAAACAAGGTGGTCTACCACTTGACGTAACAGTTAATAACAAAATAGTGCAAATGATTCAACACCTACAATCTAAAACGAAAATTCAATCAACTCTGTTTCGCAGACACTCATTAAGCGGTGAAGCTGAAGTAACCTTCCTTTCGGCAGGCTAACGTAATTTCATGTTGTTGAAGTCATTAGGGTATGTTGCATTACTGCTCTTTAATATTATCTTAATAAGCTTTGAGGTAGTAGTATAGTTTTATTGCACATTTACTATACCAGTTTTATACACAGGTTCACAAAGAAGTCATCGCTTAATTAGCGCGCCAATGGCGGCGTCATTGCACAGTCGTCTGAACGTCAATCGGAACATTTGTAGCATCGTGCGTCGGATACGACGCAAGCACAAGTGAGTGAGTAACAACTTTATTAGTCGAAGGGGTGAGGGGTAAGGGAGGCTAAGCCACGAAGGCTGCCAGGCTGTG